TCAACCGCAAGCGCCAGATCGCAGTGGGCAGTCTTGGACATCAACCGAAAGCGCCAGATCGCAGTGGGCAGTCTTGGGCCTCAACCGCCAGCGCTAGATCACAGTGGGCAGTCTTGGACTTCAACGTGCACCAACGCACAACATGCAATGGTGACCGGGGCTGACCGGACCTAAGGGGGCTCGGCTGACCGGCTAATTGCTGACCGGGCTGGGCTGAACGGACCCGGCTGACCGGCTGACCGTGGCTGACCGGACTCGGACCGGGTTAACCGAGCCGGGGTCAGCTGACCGGCTAACTGAACGCCAAAGAGAGGCCTTTCAAAGTGCCACCAGCATTTTGCTTCATTGCGGTGGATCTTTCCAAGGGTTGCAAGGATGTTTCCTATTTCCGCGCAATTTGAACGCAGGAGCGTGAAACACCTTCTGCGAGACAGGTGGCTCCAGTTTTCCGTTGCGCAACTGCTAGGTGAATCAAGCGAGGGGCTCTAAGTCAACTGGCGCTTTCCACAGAACGGAATGGAAGTGGAAGCATGGTGTCGCAAAGTTTCTCCCCATGTATCTGGCCAGTTCGAGACCTTGCGCCAAGTGCGCGCGCTGCATTTTGGGCATAGACGGACGCGCCAAGATAATGGCATCTGGAAGAGCCCACTCTTGAAAGCGTATTGTCTAACCGGGTGCCAGAATCCTCTTATTCCAGGAAGAAATGCTGTATTGCGGTGTTTGTCTACGAGATGTGGACCCTGTATTCGGCTCAGACAAATTCTGGCTCCAAGTGATGCATTATTTTCAGAGAGATAGACGCAAACGAATCACTTGCGGGGCTACTTGTCGCAGAGCTCGGAAGGCCGTCCGTTTTGCCTTGTATACGCACGCCTGTGCCCATATAATGTTGCCAAAGTTGCCCGAAGTCGCAACTACTCCTTTAGGACAGCAACAGGTGTAAAGTTCACATTGCCGCGAGGTTCCAGCAGCAATTTTGCCTATCCTCACAGGAGCCCGGCAAAGGAGTGCCAACTGAAGCTGCGAGAAGGCCAACGGTGGCAGTTCACTCCACAGGAGCAAGAAGAAAGCAGCGGGTCAAAGCAAGCCTTGCGAGACGCAGTGAAGGAGTCCAATTATTGCATCGCTTCAAATCGTTTACACGCACGAGTCACCCACTGGCGTTGCCTTCTTCCTTGACTGGTTGGCTAGCTTTGCTGCGCGCGACGGCTGCAACTTAGAAGACATGAGCAAGGCTCGGCGCCTCGCTTTCATGAAACAACACATGCCGTTTATGACTGCGCCTGCGCCCTCAAAAGGTTCTCGCGCAGCAAAAAGAGAAGGCGCTTAAGTAGGGTCAGTCCAACACTGAGCCATTTGCGGTTTGGTATTGACAAGTTTCATTTCAACGAAGGTCACAGCGGCTGTCGACCAGGAGGTTCCAGACCCTTTGCGAGGTCTGGCCACAAACTCACAAGCGGAATTACCCTTGGATCAATGACAGCGCTTCCGTTCCTTCACGAGATTTGTGTCTCTTCTGCCCGCCGCATGATGACGCCAGTGCATGGATTGCTCTTCGTCATTTTGCTGCAGCGCGAAAGAAATGGTGCTTGGAAGTTCGGCTGGCGAGCAACGCCCGTCTGATCTGTCCTTTTGAGTCCTTAACGTTGCATACCTGCATGCTAAACCTTCCATGCGAAACCTTCCGTCGTGGTGAAAAAGGAGCTTTTGCTGCAGCCGCTGTTCTGCTTGCTGCTCAGACATAGAGCTTTCCTAATCTGTTTTCGCGCGCGCGCGCGCGTTGCAACAGACCTGTCACACGTATTACGTCTGTCACGGTCTCTGCGTGTTTGTGTCTGACAAATCACATTGCCGGTCTTAACTATTTCACTTCCATCTCCTCATGCTGCCGCCTCCGAGAATATTAAAATGTTTGCCTCTCTTTCTGCGTTTGCTAGTTTGAAAATTCAATTTGCAGCATGCTTGCTTCCTTTTCCCTCTAGACTAACCATATTTGCTTCCCATTTTTGCGTATCACGACGCGATACTGCGTCAGCCTTCCTTGCTGCTTTCATTTTGTAATTGCACCTTCTTCAACAGATGCTTTCCATACTTTAACTTGAATGGCGCCGGGAAAAAAAAGCTTGCCCAAATCAGACCTGTGAATTCCCAACATGTTTGCTGGCCGCAGCCTTTTTGATTATCCTTTTTTCGCTGAGCGGTCCACTTTCAAACTGTATTGCAGACTAACATGTCAATAGCTTCTCATTCCTCGCCTTCACACCAACATATCATGCCTGTAATACATGCTGAGAACAAAGCCCCCGTGTCCTGTCAACATTAAAACTTAGCCCGTCTAAAGATAACGTGTCGAGGTAGATGAAGCGTTGAGGCTCCGTAAATCTTAACTTGGTTTCACTTGACACTCTCCCACACCCCCTCGCAACGCGTCTTCACTTCACTTCGCTTCACTTCACCTCACTTCGCTTCACTTCACTCCATTTCAACTCAACTTCACCTTCAACTTCACCTTCACCTTCACTTTCACTTCACTTCATCATTTCACTTCACCTTCACCTTCACTTTCACTTCACTTCATTTCACTTCACCTTCACCTTCACTTTCACTTCACTTCATTTCACTTCAACTTCACCTTTAACTTTGCCTTCACCTTCACCCTCACTTCATGTCGCGTCACTTCACTCCACTCCACTCCACTCCACTTCACTTCACTTTACTTTACGCCACTTCACTTTACTTTACGTCACTTCACTTCACTTCACTTAGCTGGAGTTGTCCTTGCTTTAGCAAGTGAGGGGCTGGAATCCTCGAGATCGCCGCATCACGTGAAAACTTCATATGTAGAGGGCCCCCCCCCCCGGCGGGTTCAACTCCCCCTAGGACACCTCTGGGACACCTCTTGGACACCTCTTATGGCCTCCACTTTGGTTCGACTCCTCCGTGGAGGTTTTGGGATACGATGCAACAGATTCAACAGATGCACAAGCTAAGGTTGGCTGTGTCATTGCTGTTCGTGTGTCTTACATGTTCACAACGTTTTACCTCATGAGGGAGACCTTGTGAATCATCCCTCCAACAGCCCCATGCCTATGAAAAAGATTTGCCTCACTCCGCTTGATGTCCCACCAGTCCTTTGTCACTGGACGGCGCTGTATGCTTCGCCTCCACTATGCATCCCTGCTAGCTTTCG